TTGAACGAATGAGTGAAGACCGAATGGTGAAGAAAATATATAGAGCGAAAATAAATATTAAAAGGTGTCGAGGTAGACCGAAACTAACTTTTGAAGACCATGTGAGCAAATTGCTCGAAGAGGGGAGGGTCAAGAGTACTCGGATACCTAGACGTGCATGTATGAAGAAGTTAATGAACCTGAAGGAAGCGAAAGAGGTATGTAAGGATCGTGACACTTGGCGATCTGTTCTCTCTGGCTACCCCGTTAGGGATTGTGCGTAAAGATAAGTAAGTAAGTAAGTAAGTAATAAATAAATAATCAATATGAGTTACTAATCGTTTTTAGAAATAAAATGTCAATGTTCATTAATTCCTTAAACTTAACTAAATTTTATATTAAAATAATAAATTTGACGAATTTATAATTAATTATGTACATAGGTACTATGTTATATCAAAAAGAAAATTCGTATTCGTAGAAGATGATGAATTGTGGATTTTATCGTTGAAATCCCATAGTTTTTTCTGATTCCAGCAGTTCTAAAAACTTTATTGTATTTTCATAATTCCACTCGAAAGGTATTTTGGTAGATCGTACTTATTTAATAACAAGACGGCATGCATGTCCGTTCATTCAGGCGCTTGGCGCGAACTCACTGCCGCTCGCGCTGCCCGTCCTTTGACTTCCGTACGAAAAACCGACATTTGAGCGAGCGTCGGGCAGTGGCAGCGGCAGCGGCAGTGTCAGCGCGAGTAGCCTGTTTACATACTGCCCTGCTCACTGCCCTGCTCACTGCCCTGCTCACTGCCCTGCTCACTTCCCTGCCCAACAGGGCTGAATGTAAATGGGGCATATGGCAAAACGATGAAGCTCGCGCGTCGAGTTCAAAATTTAGTTACTTTGTCTATTTTGAGTGAGTCTAGAAATGTTCCGATTTGTAAAAGTTTGTTAAAGTTTTCGTTAATGAATTTATTATTAAGTCATTCGTACACTTCATAACATTTGTACCAATACCATCCAGACCAATAACACTGTTTGAATCAAGTTTGTTAATAGTGTTAAGGATTTCTTCTCACTCACCGGGATAGCGACAAGCTCGACAGTTGTCGACGGTGCCATCCCTTAGGATGTGCCTCCGATAGTTGTTGGTTTTAATAACCTGATCCTGTATTGCACAGACAAAATCCTTGGTTTTCCCGAAGATGTCACTGAAACACAGCCAGTGTAGGGAGGCAACTGTATCTACGAAAGCTTCTTGAAGAGCTTTGTAGAACATCCTGTGGAGCTTCTTCTCCTTCCATACAGTCTCCCGGTAGGAAATGCTCTGCACTGCCGGGTCCTGTCATTACTCGTGGCTAAGGACAGAGGGGTAAGCCCTTTATCACAGGAAATAACGTTCTTGTAGAATGGACCATCCGATCTCGTCAGAAAGTAATTACGGAGGCTGTACACTTCGCAATTATGCATGGTAAGCTCGCTTAAAAAGCCACGCCCACCATGTTTTTGCGACAAATACAGCCTTATTACCGACGAACTCGGATGATACATTCTATCGGACGTCTAGGTAGTGCGGACTTTTCTATCCAGGGCGTTAAGTTCAGTCTGAGTCCACCTGAGTATGCCAAAGGTATATATGAGGGCAGGCATGGGCCAGCCGTTATGTGCGTGTGTCTTATTTACGCCGACAAAAGGCTGTTATGCACTTTGGTCAAGCATGCAAAACACATCTCAAACTGACTTTTTCATTCTCGCCTCATCGATACCCATGTTCTGTCTACACTTTGCCTACCGGTACGAGGGCAGCCTCGTACCGGTAGGCGAATTGTAGGGCTCGAGAACCTTTTTTCCCGAACAGTTGTCGGTTCTTCGAGCTATATTGGCGGCCCATTGCCACTTCAACTTACTAATCCGTTGGGCTATGTCGGTCACTCTGGTTCTACTGCGGATATACTCATTTCTAAGTTTATCGCGCAGAGAAACTCTGAGCATAGCCCTCTCCATAGCTCGCTGAGCGACTTTGAGCGTCCTCATACGGCCAGCAGTGAAGGACCACGTCTCGATTCCATAGGTCATCACTAGCTACACGCACTGGTTGTACAACTTAGTTTTCAGGTTTTGAGGTATACCTGACGAGAAGATGTGTCGTAATTTCCCGAACTTGGCTGGGCAGCGTTCGAGAAATCTAGTCCAATTCAATCCCCAGAAGACAAAAGTTTGCGCTTTAACCGCTAAAAAACCCTTTGTCGTATCTCCTCTGTTTGAAGGCATTCCCTTGCTGCCTCAGCTAGCATCAGAATCGTCGGTGTCGACATATCGGTCACATGGAGGGGAAGGCCGTAATAGCCTCAGAAAAGCTTGGTGTGCTCAGCAGAGCGAGACAGTATTTCATGCGCGCACATCGCTCGCAACTTAACAAACTTTTTTTAACACGTGGTAGAGCCATTCTGCAGTTTTATTAGTAGTATAGTTGTAGCACGAAAGGGTCGGCTCGACCGGGGAAGGACCACGCTCTTACAGAATACCAGCGTAAAATAGTAGCTTAATGCTGATGTATTTCGTATGGTGAGTGTAGAGAATCGGAGACCCTTTTTATTGGAAACGAGGCATTCCATCCTAGACCTCACGGGTGACAACGCATCTGCATTTTGATTTGTAATCGAGGATAGATGTAGATGTCTATGGGCCACAGCAACCACTTACCATCAGGTGGACTGTGTGCTCGTTTGTCACCCTATCCTATAAAAAAAGCGCAAGTTCGGCCTCACAGGGAATACTGTTCTCGTCTCTGGGACGGGGCACCATAGTGTCAGCTCCTTACACTTGACAGCATCCAGCGCAGAGCGATTAGAATTGTCGACGACCGAGTTCTTTCTGATCGGCTCGATTCACCGGCGCTGCGTGCGGGTGTTGCATCCCTTTGCGTTTTCTATCGAATTTACTGTGGGGAGTGTTCCGAGGAATTATTTAGATTAGTTCCAGCCGCCAAATTTCTCGAACGCACATTGCGTCAAAATTCTCGATAGAGTTTTCTCGAGGAGTTTTCTTCCTCGTACAACTTCTCTGTGGAATTGTTTACCATCGCCGACTTTTCCGGACTGATACGACTTAGGGACCTTCAAGAAAAGAGCTTACTTCTTTCTCAAAGGCCGGCAACGCATCTGAAATCCCCCTGGTGTTGCGGTTGTTCCTGGGCGGCGGTAGTCACCATTAGATGAGCCGCATGCTCGTTTGCCCCCTCTTCTATAAAAAAAACATAATGATTTCTTATATTTACGCGAACACTACACATTGATTAAAACGATTTTTACGGATTTTATCGCGTTTATTTTACTTTTAATAACTTTTTTTTTAATTCCCGACCTTTCGGGCGCTTTCCAGCACCCATGGTCACGGGGGACTGAGATGACTGACGTCCCTATGTCGCGTAAAAGAACATATAGCTAATGTGAAGCATCAACGTTCCGGGAATCATATCCTAGACGGCCCCAACCATTACATCAGATTTGATAGACCATAAATCCTCGCGAAAGAACACCGATTACTACCAAGGATGATACGTGTGGCTATTGAAATTAAAAAAACATCCTAATTTCAATAGAGAAGGAGGCTGGGTAATACCACCTGCTTGGGATCCTATAATCAATAAAATTAAAACTAAACCCAAGCATACCACTGCAAGATCTCAGGACATAGTCAGTTCATTTTGCATAGATCGGACCATAAACAATAATTAAAAAAGCTGAAGGTACTCCGGGTTTAACAATGACATCGGGACGTCAGTCATCTCAGTCCCCCGTGACCATGGGTGCTGGAAAGCGCCTGAAACGTCGGGAATTAAAAATAAAAGTAATTAAAGGTAAAATATACGCGATAAAATCCGTAAAAGTAGTTTTAATAAAAAAACATAGTAACGAAAATATGGTCAGTCGATCCTAATCAGGATAGGTACTTCACCTATGTAACTTAATGACCATTTGGCAAAGCGTTTTTTACTCTAAATATATACCCTTAGTAAGAACGGAAAGTCCGCCGTGAAGCAGGAGGGGAAAATATGCAAGGTAATACGGACACTCGCGCGCAGCGATAATGATTTATTTTTCTTGCGTGCGCGATTTATTTAATTAATAATAATTATGTAAGCTACTGAACGTCGGCAAGCAGTCAACATCAAATTAGTGCAACTTCTGTACGTAGTACTATTATTTATTGTGTGGTCATACCCATATCAGTATGTTTCAGCCTCTGAAAGGGTTATTGTTGATATATCCTTATGTTGAAAGGTATAGATAAGTCTATGCCGTCAGAATAAGTGACCCTACCCCTTTCAACATGAAAGAACGCGCACTTTTTTTACGTTTTTTTTTACGTGGTAGAGCCACGCTGCAGCTGTAATAGTTATAGCATGAATGGGTCGGCTCGACCGGGGAAGGACCACGCTCTCACAGAATACCAGCGCGAAATAGCAGCTTAATGCTGCTGTATTTCGTATGGTGAGTGTAGAGAACCGGAGACCCGTTTTACTGGAATCAAGGCATTCCATCTTAGTCCTCAAGGGTGAAAACGCATCTGCATTTTGACTCTTAATCGAGGTCAAATGGAGATGTCTATGGGCCACAGAATCCACTTACCATCAGGTGGACTATGTTCGTTTGTCACCCTCAATCTATAAAAAAAAAACTTATCCGTCCTCAGCTCATTTTTTATAGAATTGCTAAAACCACAGGTGATGCTTAGCAATTCCGTAACATGGGATTATTATTCTTATATTCCATGGGATGGAATGTTATTATTAATATTAATGAATTAACACACTTGTAGATAAAAGCTGACGCATGTGTATATTAGGGTTAATCTATTCTTAGAAGCCGTTCACTGAAGGAGTATCAATCACTTTTTGTGGTAACTTATTCCAATTAGTGACAACGCAATTTGTAACAAAATGCTTGATTCGACTTGACAGGCCTATGGCAGAGTTTAAGTTGATGCCCTTCTCACATAGTGTGATGTGTTTTCAGTACATGGGCCCCGGACTGGTGGCGGTGAGCGGGCGCTCGGTGCTGGAGGCGGGCTGGCGTGGGCGCGTGCCGGTGGCGGCGCATACGGGCGCCGTGTTCCCCGGCGAGACCGTGCCCATGCTGGTGCCCGACCCGCACAATGCAGAAATACTAGCGCAGGCTATCAGCCACGACAAGCTCTTCGGCCTGCTCTGCCCTGAGTATGTACACACCACTACCGCTGCTGCTCCTTGTATAATTCGAGTCAAAGATGGTATTTGTACTAAACATTGACGCGATAAAATTAATAGATAAGTTATTAATTAAAATGTAAAGCTGCCAAGCTTATAGAACAGTATCTGGGGGCACGGCAGTGCCCTCGCCAAGTCGAGCAAAAAAAGCGGCACGGCCGTACCATCTTTTCTCGAAGCAATCCAGGTCATTTTCGACGTCCTATAACTTCGTGGTCAATAAATCTAGAAGCCTGAATTTTCAGTAACCGAGTAAGCATTGTATAGATATGGTATATTTCAAATTTCATTCAATTTGAACCAGTAGTTTAAGAATTGTAACCAGTTAAACTTTCTTAATTTTGTCACTCACTGACTGACCGATCATCAAAACTCTAAGGCACTTCTAGCAGACATAGAAGCTTCAAATTTAGAATGCAATTAGTGTTTAGAGTATAAATCAAGGAAAAATTAAAACATTTGTTAATTTCTGTCCAGTTTTCTAGATACACTAACTGCATAAATAACTTTGTAATCCCTTATAAATATATAGAATTACAAAGTTACATTTGCAGTGAATGAACCAGTGTACTTGTATATGTATTACAGGTGTACATAGGTACGTTGTTGGTACTCAAGAAGTAGAAGGTACTGGAAAGGTGAAAAATTAAGACTATCTTATATACAAAAAGAAATGAGATGCAATTAAAAACATAACTTGTAAAAAAAAAACCAAGTCTCGCAACTCAGTTCTTCTACCGTAAAAAGTTATGAGATTCATGTAATACCAAGTCGGTTAATTTATTCAGATCCTACTTAAGGGTCCTTCTACTTTTACGGATTTTATCGCGTTTTATTTATATTAATTTTAATACCCGACGTTTCGAGTGCTTTCCAGCACCCATGGTCACGGGGGACTGAGGTGACTGACGTCCCGATGTCAAAGTTAACCCGGAGTACCTTCAGCTTTTTAATTATTGTCTTTGGTCCTATCTACGCAGAATGAACTAACTGTATTTTGAAGTCTTGCAGTGGTATGCTTGGGTTTAGTTTTAATTTTATTAATTATAGGATCCCAAGCAGGTGGTAGTACCCAGCCTCCTTCTCTATTGAATTAGGATGTTTTTTAATTTCAATAGCCTCACGTATCATCCTTGGTAGGAATCGATGTTCTTTCGCGAGGATTTGTGGTCTATCAAATCTGATGTAATGGTTGGGGCCATCTAGAATATGATCGCAAACTGCAGACTTCCCGGAACGTTGATGCTTCACGTCAGCTATGTGTTCTTTTACCCAGGTTCTAATTGATCTCTTTGTTTGCCCTATATATGAGAGACCACAATCACAATCAAGCTTGTACACTCCTGCATCTTGTAGAGGAATATGACACTTGACGGATGGTAAGAACTGACTTCGGCGGCTTGTAGAATGTTCTAATAGCAGCTCGCTTCAAGATGTAGCCAATCTTGTCTGTGACACCTCTGACATATGGTAGTATAGCAGGCACACGCTCGACTGTGGCCGGCTTCACTCGGTCACTGTGACGGAGGCGCGGGACCCGAAGCTTGTTGTCGTGCAGAACCTGCTTGACGTGCTGAAGCTCGGCGGCCAGGTGTTTGCTGTCACAGATCCCTCGTGCTCTCTGAAACAAAGGTTTGCCCACGGTAGCTAACTGTGAAGGATGATGGTGAGATTCACCATTTAAGTATCGGTTTGTATGGGTCTTTTTTCTATACACAGTATGACCTATGGTGTTGTTAGGATTTCGGATGACTAACACATCTAGGAAAGCTAAGGAATTATTTACCTCTAACTCCATAGTAAATTGAATTTTAGGGTTTATGGAATTAAGATGTTCTAAAAATGCAGTTACTTTGTCTGATGGTAAAATTGTGAAAGTATCGTCTACATATCGGCGACAATGGGAGATACAGGTGAGCCCATCGCAACACCATCTACTTGCTTGTAAAACTCTTCCTTCCACAATAGATAGCCAGATGTAAGGCAATGTCTTAGTAGTGCTGCATATTCTAGTGGCATGTTATTTTCATCTAGTTTCCTAGTTATAATTGAGATGCAGTCTTCAACAGGTAGGCATGTAAATAGAGACTGAACATCAAAACTGACCATGGTTTCATTGTCAGCAAGACGTAGGTCTTTTATCTCACTGACAAAATGGTATGAATCCTTAGTATGTGCTCTTGTGTGTCCTCTGAGTGGTGATAATATTTTGGCCAAGTGTTGAGCCAATCTGTACGTTGGCGAATCGATTTGACTCACTATTGGACGTAATGGAGCGTTAGGTTTGTGTATTTTTGGTAACCCATACAACTTAGGAGGTTTTGCACACGAAGGTATCATCGAATTGACGTCTAGATTCAATTTCTCGGAGAATTTCTTAATTAGATCGCTAGTTGTTTTAAGCGTATTAGTTGTGGGGTCTGTTTTGACCTTACGGTATGTACTTTCATCCGACAAAAATTGTTGTATTTTAAAATTGTAATCCGACGTATCCATTACAACCGTAGCATTTCCTTCATCTGCGCGGAGAATCGTAAGGTCTGGTCTGTTGCGTAAGGTTTTTAACGCGTTAAATTCATTTTTGGGAAGATTTAATTTCGGCGCTGTACTTCGACGTAACATAGACGAAATGTCTTGGCGTATGGCCTCTAAATCTTCATTACCAATATTATTTTTATACAGACAATCATCAACACTACAGATAATGTCTTCATACGGGATTCTTAGCGGTGTAATTGCATAATTAAAACCTCTTCCTAAAACTTTTAATGTGGCGTCGTCCAGAGTATGTTTTGACAGGTTATAGACCACGCCTTGTTTACTATTCGTGTCTGTGGTCGTTTCGTTCTTACGTTGCCATTGATGTTGGACATTTGATTTAGTTATTAATTTTTGGTATTTATCAATATGTTTATTTTTGCATTCATTGTATTTAGTTGTTTCGCGTTTATCTAAAGTTTCCATGCAATTCTTATAATCAAATGTCGATAAATCTGTCTTTAATTCACTGGACGAATTGTCTATGGTTTTGTTTATGAAACATAGATCGGTACGTTTTTGCTGAATCACTGTTATTAACAACTTTTTACTCGCCTGATTTAAGATCTTGAGTTAAAGACAGTTTTATCGACATTTGATTATAAGAATTGCATGGAAACTTTAGATAAACGCGAAACAACTAAATACCCAGTAAAACTGTTCTCGAACCTTCAGTAAAGATCGTTTAACTCCCAGATGGACTCTTGAACGACCATTATGGCACAGCTGTAGAACATTCGGCACTTTAGCTTTAGGGACAACCATTTGCAAACGACAGCTGTCTCCTCGACCATTGTCCCATTTACGGCACAGGACTCCATCCTGAAGCAGCAAGCTGTCCCATTGGGCCCAAAAAGCTTTTCGTGGTTGAACTCATCGCTGAGACGTCCCTCCACTTAGGCTTGGTAGCACGGGCCTTCATACATCCCAGAATCGGCTTGATGTCCGGATCTTCCTGCTGTGCATGTCGTAGGCTGTCCTTTCACCCGTTGCTGAGGTGGTCTGTCCTGAGCATCCTCACGGATACCACTTCCTTACCTTGCCTACTACAATGGTTGCAATCTTCAGGACAAGGTCTTCTTGACAATACATCTGCGTTACCGTGAGATTTCCCGCTGCAGTGTCTGATAGTAAAGTCGTATTCCTGCTGCTGCTGGGCGGTGCTGTTAGCCGCACTTCCTTTCTGAGACCGTTCACCTTCCCTTCCTAGGGTGTGCTTATGGCAGCTGGACCGAAGATGGCCCCTTTCCCCACAGCCATAGCACCTAGGGCTGTATCCTTTATTGTGGTCGCGAACCGTAACTGCTGCAACCTCCCTAGCGTGAGGTGAACGATGATCCTGTCGCCGCCAGGCAGTGCCGTTAGCTGCACTACCCTCCTGATATCGTTCGCTTTCCCTTTCTGCGGTTCGCTTAGGGCAGCTGGATCGAAGGTGGCCCTTTTCCCCACAGCCATAGCACCTAGGACTGTATCCTTTGTTGCGGTCGCGAACTGTAGCTGCTGCAACCTCCCTGACGCGATGGGAACGATGATCCTGCCGCACGGCTTCCACCTCCAGTGCATGGGCCAAGGCGTCCTTAAGCGTCTCGTGATGCCCGAGCCTCACAGCAGCTCTGACTTCAAGGTCGCGGATGCCGTCGATGAATGTCTGCACCAGGTTCCCTTCAATGAGCGCAGGTACAGACTGGTATGCTTTTCGAAACATCTTCTCCGCCTCAAGCGCCCACTGCTGCAGGTTTTCGTTGCTGCGTTGCACGCGATCTTTAAGCTGCGCGCGAAAAACGTGTTCCAGGTGAGCGACGCCATATCTCGCCTCCAACGCCTCAAGGAGCTGCTCAGAGGTCACTTTCTTACCGAGAGCTTCCAACACAGTTAAGGCTTGGTCGCGCAGGCCTAGGGTGAGTGCAGTCATAGCTTGGCTTTTATTCCAGCCGTTCGCTTCCATGACGGCATCGAACTGGATTTTGTAGACCGACCAGGAAGAAGTCCCGTCGAACGGCGGCACTTTGAATCCACTTAGCGAAGGTGTTGTAGCTACCACGGGAGCTGTTGTTCCATCCCCAAGTTTGAGGTTGTCTAGCGTTTTCTTCACGTCAGCCACCACGTAATCAACCCGATTGTTCACTTGGTCGATTTGGGTTTTAGCTTCCTTGATTTGGGTTTCAGCTCCGACAGGCGGTTGTCATGTTGAGCAACCCTATCCTTCACCTCCCTTATCTCTTTCCCAAAGGTAGCATGAAGGTCCTTCATAAGGAGCATCTGCTCTTCCAAGCGACGGGCCTGTTTCTCTTGTCCGCCCCGCAGCTGCTCTTCCAAACGACGGACCTGTTCCTCCTGTCGGCGAACCTGTTCATCCTGTCCACCCCGCAGCTTCTCTTCCAACCGACGGACCTGTTCCTCCTGTCGGCGAGCCTGTCTGCCTGCGAGTCGGGTGCTGCAGATGTAGTAGCTACCGACGGGCCTGCAGCCGGTGGCTGGCCCTCCGACGTCTGCGGCGTTGCACCACCAAATCTTCGTTGGTCCGTCTCCTGCTGGCGTTGACTTCGGGTACGGACACCCTCCGTTTCCTCCTTAGGTAAAATCGGCATGATTTTATCCCACTTCTGACACCAATTGTTACGAGCTTGAGGTTCGTGACAATAAAAATTTCCGATAGAATTACCTAAATTAACACTTTACTTCACTTTACACTAATTAAAGTTAAAAACACTAATAATTAATCACACTGATTCACTTTATTCTGCTCTGAAGCTTCGCTTGTCTCGCCAAATTCGATACTCCCGATCGCATCTTGCAGCGCCTATTTATATAAATTAGCAGCGAAATATCCAGAATATTCGAGTAAATACGCGCAGGGTACCGAGAGTTCGAGTTTCGACTTCAAGAAGTTTAGTTCTTCGGTTCGACACTAGATGGCGCTAGTGCCGTCGACTTTGGCGCGTAACAATATTATCACTAAATCTATTCCACATTGAGATCTTCAGAACGCTGCAAACCGCATCTCAATAGATCAAGACGTTCAAAGTTATGAAAGGTTTACATACTTACACACACACACACACACACACACACACACACACACACACACACACACGACACAGACAGAGAGAGACACTCACACACACACACACACACACACATAAACACACACACACACACACACACACATACACACACACACAGAGAGAGAGAGAGAGAGAGAGAGACACTCACTCACTCACACACACACACACACACACACACACACACACACACAGACATACAGAGAGAGAGAGAGAGAGAGAGACTCACTCACTCACTCACACACACACCGCGCGCACACACACACACACACACACACACACACACACACACACACACACACACACACACACACACACACACACACACACACACACACATACGCAACAGACCAGACCTTACGATTCTCCGCGCAGATGAAGGAAATGCTACGGTTGTAATGGATACGTCGGATTACAATTTTAACCTGTAGAGTCGATTAGCATACACATGTGTACCAAACATAAACACCTTACGCTCGCTCGATCAAGATACACATGTGTACCACAAGTACTACCCTTTGAAAAAGAATTTTTTTAATTAAAAAAAAAACCAAAAACAATATGTAATGTATAATAGAAGCAAAGACAAAGATAGGCTCTATGACTTCATATCTTTGCCTGGCAATGTTACTAAGAAAAAACTAAAAATAAATCACTCTTTTCTTCCGGCGTTCCACGTGTTGCGTTGTTGGATCTTTGTCGTCAATTTTTAATTTATTTCTGGAATTAAAACGTAAGTATTATACTTTTTTGTATTCCTTGTAATGTAACAAACCCGTAGATATATAATTTGTGGCATAAAAGTGAAAAATAAACGCTAAAAATATTTCTAAATCGAAATGATGTAGAAAAGTACAGACAAAGTAGTTAATATAAATGTCTATATTTACGGATAAATCTAAGTGAAAACGGTAAAATTCTAATGAAATTACGAGATAATTTCGTACTCTTCAAGATTTTGTTCATTTTTCCTATCACAATGCTATCATAACCTACAAAATTGTTCATAAACGGCCCTATACCTGTATAATAATTCAAATATTTCGCCATATTTTTACATATTTGCAGTGATTGCAGGAATTTTATCGATCAGGCTATCGATACAGATAGATTTATATGGTGGTAATATCATAGGAAGTATCTATCAGTTTTTTTTTTCATTTTTCAAATCAATCAAATTCAATATGTATATAGCAATTTCTGTTGATATAAAATAATATGATATGACCTATTGTCTATATACTATCCCTACAGAATGTATATTATCCATATCATATCATATATATTACAATATAATGATATTATATATGATAGGGAAAATCATTACATAGTAGAGTAAATCTGTTGGTATGTTACAATTATTATTTTCGTTTTCAGCATGTGGAACCCAGGAAATAAGCCAGTTCCCCAGGAGTTCATCGATGTCCTTCTCGACGAAGAAGAAGAACTGGATATCGATGAAGACCATGGGGAACTGGAAGAAGAATACAATGCAGAGGAGATACTTGTAAGTAATATTATGTATAACATCAGTCATATAGATAAATAGAAACATTCGGATAAAAACATATTCATTTTTCAACAGAACATGCCGGTGTGCATTGCGGAACCCGATGGGTCTCTCTTTTACATACCGGAAGAAGTGCATGTACTTGTAAGTAATATTTATATATAACATCAGTCATGTAACGTTTCTATTTTAATTTTTCTTAATTTTTATTTTATTATGATTGAGCGTTGAAAAATTCAAACAACTTCAAATTTTCACACTCAGTGTTATCTATTTCCTATTGAACTAATAAAACATTTATTAGGAATAATGTGTATGGCAAAACAATGTTTCAGCTAGTATTTATTTGTGTTTATATATATATAAATGTTTTCAGCACAATAAAACTGTGTTCATTTTTCAACAGAATATTCCTGTGGGTACGGAGAAAGCCAGTGGGTCTCCGCAATGCCCAACAGAAGAGGTGTCTGAAGAAGTACATGTACTTGTAAGTAATATTTATATATAACATCAGTCGTGTAACATTTCTATTTTAATTTTTCTTAATTTTTATTTTATTATGATTGAGCGTTGAAAAATTCAAACAACTTCAAATTTTCACACTCAGAGTGTTAGCTATTTCCTATTGAACTAATAAAACATTTATTAGGAATAATGTGTATGGCAGAACAATGTTTCAGCTAGTATTTATTTGTGTTTATATATATATATATATATATAAATGTTTTCAGCACAATAAAACCGTGTTCATTTTTCAACAGAATATTCCTGTGGGTACGGAGAGAGCCGGTTGGTCTCCGCAATGCACAACAGAAGAGGTGTCTGGAGAAGTACATGTACTTGTAAGTAATAATTATATAATATAACATCAGTCATGTAATGTTTCTATTTTAATTTTTCTTAATTTTTATTTTATTATGATTGCGCGTTGAAAAATTCAAACAACTTCAAATGTTCACACTCATAGTGTTAGCTATTTCCTATTGAACTAATAAAACATTTCTTAGGAATAATGTGTATGGCAAAACAATGTTCCAGCTAGTATTTATTTGTGTTTATATATATATATATATATATATATATATATATATATATATATATATATATATATATTTTGCAGCACAATAAAACCGTGTTCATTTTTCAACAGGATGTGCCTGCTCCAGAGCCTGCTCCAGAGGTGCCTGGAGAAGTGCATGTACTTGTAAGTAATATTTATATATAACATCAGTCATGTAATTTTTATATTTTAATTTTTTTTTTAATTTTCAATGTTTCAGCTAGTATTTATTTGTGTTTATATATATATATATATATATATATATATATATATATATAACATCAGTCATGTAATGTTTCTATTTTAATTTTTCTTAATTTTTATTTTATTATGATTGAGCGTTGAAAAATTCAAACAACTTCAAATGTTGACACTCATAGTGTTAGCTATTTCCTATTGAACTAATTAAAACATTTCTTAGGAATAATGTGTATGGCAAAACAATGTTCCAGCTAGTATTTATTTGTGTTTATATATATATATATATATATATATATATATATATATATATATATATATATGTTTGCAGCACAATAAAACCGTGTTCATTTTTCAACAGGATGTGCCTGCTCCAGAGCCTGCTCCAGAGGTGCCTGGAGAAGTGCATGTACTTGTAAGTAATATTTGTATATAACATCAGTCATGTAATTTTTATATTTTAATTTTTTTTTTAATTTTCAATGTTTCAGCTAGTATTTATTTGTGTTTATATATATATATATATATATATATATATATATATATATATATATATATATATATTATATATATATATAAACATCAGTCATGTAATGTTTCTATTTTAATTTTTCTTAATTTTTATTTTATAATGATTGAGCGTTGAAAAATTCAAACAACTTCAAATGTTCACACTCATAGTGTTAGCTATTTCCTATTGAACTAATAAAACATTTCTTAGGAATAATGTGTATGGCAAAACAATGTTCCAGCTAGTATTTATTTGTGTTTATATATATATACATATATATATATATATATATATATATATATATTTACATATATATATATATATATATATATATATATATATATATATATATATATATATATGTTTGCAGCACAATAAAACCGTGTTCATTTTTCAACAGGATGTGCCTGCTCCAGAGCCTGCTCCAGAGGTGCCTGGGGAAGTGCATGTACTTGTAAGTAATATTTATATATAACATCAGTCATGTAATTTTTATATTTTAATTTTTTTTTTAATTTTCAATGTTTCAGCTAGTATTTATTTGTGTTTATATATACATATATATATATATATATATATATATATATATATTATATATATGTTTGCAGCACAATAAAACCGTGTTCATTTTTCAACAGGATGTGCCTGCTCCAGAGCCTGCTCCAGAGGTGCCTGGAGAAGTGCATGTACTTGTAAGTAATATTTGTATATAACATCAGTCATGTAATTTTTATATTTTAATTTTTTTTTAATTTTCAATGTTTCAGCTAGTATTTTTTGTGTTTATATATACATATATAGATACATATATATATATATATATATATATATATATATATATATATATGTATCTATATATATATATATATATATATATATATATATATATATATATATTATATATATGTTTGCAGCACAATAAAACCGTGTTCATTTTTCAACAGAATGTGCCTGCTCCAGAGCCTGCTCCAGGCCCCGTACCCCGCTTCAGGGTGGAATTGATGGACCCGGTGGCGGCACGTCAACGACGAGGGACCGCATCCGTACGCGGGCGTGGTCGCGGACGTGGCCGTGGCCGAAGCGAGGGTTGGATGCGTGGAGCAGCTCTGGAGCACATTTTTTTGGAAGACACGGATTTGCCCTTGGATATTCAGGGGCAAATCCGTGATTATTTAATTAGGAGGGAGAGGTGTGAAAGGAGAAGAATACCTGCAAATGTGGAAGAGGAGAATGAGAGTGAGGAATGGAATGAAAATGAAAGATTTGTGTGGCGAGGGATGAACGAGTGGAATGGCAGGCAATGCGATTTTGTACCAGAAACGACTGGGCCTACCGTCTCGATTCGAGATCCTTATGAGGCCATGCATGCCATCTGGACAGATGACATCATGACCCATATTGTTGAGAAATCGAACCGGTATGCAGAGTCGGTTCTGGCACAGCAGCGTCCAAGGTTCATGAGAGATTGGTTTAAAACCAATTTACATGAAATTTGGACGTTATTCGCATTCTGGATTATGCTTGGCATTATTAGAATGCCAAGCATTAAATCTTGTTTTACGAGGAACCCTCTACTGAAGACCGACATATTTCGCACCCTCTTTTTAGAGTCCCGCTACTGGAACCTTAATGCGGCATTTCATTTGGCCGATGGAACTGACCCAAATAATCCGCTGCACCCAATGGGTCCCATTCTCGACCACCTGAATGCCAAGTTCCAGGAGTTATACCAGCTGGACCGGAATATATGTATTGATGAATCGCTAACTCTTTGGAAAGGGCCAGTTAGCTTTCAGCAATACATAAAGACCAAGGCAGCCCGGTTTGGTATAAAAACCTACGAACTGTGCGAGTCGGCCACAGGATACCTTTGGTCGTTTTTTGTGTATGCGGGCCGCACGACAGGGACGGGGTTACCATCCAGCGTGTCCACAGTGTTGAGGCTGATTCAACCTCTCCTCAACCTGGGGCACACGCTATTTATGGACAACTGGTTTAATTCCCCCTCCCTGGCGCGTTGGCTAAAACGACGCAACACAGACTGCGTCGGTACCCTGCGGCCGACTCGCAAAGGGGTTCCAGAAGCTATAAAACGTGCACCCTTGAAGGAAGGGCAATTTATTGCCCGTGCTTCCGACGACGTCATGGTTGTTGCGCTACAAGATCGCAAGCGAAGTGACTTGTATCTCAACATACCATGGCGTCTCGCAAGAGTTAGTTCCTGGACGTCCGGGCCACCCTGCAGAGTATAAGCTTAATATAATAAAAGATTATAATCGGGCCATGGGGGGAGGTAGACCGCCTCGACTCTATGCTGGAGGCCTATCTAGTCGAGCGGAAACAATGTTTAAAATGGAACCGGAAACTTTTCAAACGCCTTTTGAATATTTCTATTCAAAACGCAAGGGTCATTGTTGAGAAATCAACCAATACTAAACTCGATGCCGTAGCGTTTCGGTTGGCGTTGGTTGATAGCATTATAAAGCGCCACCTTCCTTTAGTTCCTCGCCCAGCAGGACCTATTGATCAGCGCATTCCCCCTGTATTTCCAATAGGGAGGCTAACAGAGCGTCATTTCATTCGCCGCATACCCATCACCGACGAAATGCGGAGTACAGGGCAGCACCGCACCAATATCGGCCGACGCCATTGCGTGTGGTGCCAGCACAAAGAACGCAAAAGGTCGAAGACGGTGTATGAGTGTGAGGAATGTGGACTGCCGCTCTGTCTACTAAATTGCTTCCGCGAATTTCATACTCAGTAAATGTATTTACTGAGTATGAAATTGGATATTGTAATGACAGGGTTACAAACGAGCAAACAGTCCACCTGATGGTAAGTGGTTGCTGTGGTTCATAGACCCGTGAGGAATGCCTCGTATCCAGTAAAAAGGGTCAAAGGGTCTCCGGGTCCTTTAGACAAACGAGCACTCAGTCCACCTGATGGTCAGTGGTTGATGTGTCCCATAAACATCTACATCTATCCCCTCGTGACCTGTGAGTACTAAGATGGAATGCCTCGTTTCCAGTAAAAAGGGTCTCCGGTCTCCTCTTCCTCAGCAGTATAAAGCTTGTATTCTGTGAGAGCGTGACGAGCACGCAGTCCACCTGATGGTAAGTGGTTGCAGCGGCCCTTAGACATCTACATCTTTCCCAACCTGACCTGTGAGGACTAAGATGGAATGCCTCGTTTCCAGTAAAAATGGTCTCCGGTCTCTCTTCCTCCTCGTCTTTTTCTATAGGTAAGGGTGACAAACGAGCACTCAGTCCACCTGATGGTAAGTGTTCGAGCACACAGTTCACCTGATGGTAAATGGTTGCACTGGCCCTAAGACATCTACATTTATCCCAACCCGACCTGTGAGGACTAAGATGGAATGCCTCGTTTCCAGTATAAAGAGTCTCCGGTCTCCTCCTCGTCCTCAGTAGCGGGTTCAAGAAGGATGTGAATGGCTATGAATGTTGACTGAAAGAATGTTTTATTTGGATAAAAAATTGTACAAAAAGGGTTATTATAATATAAATGAATACATAATTGAAAATAACCACTGGGAATGTGGTGATCGCCACCATGCTGGTTCTATAAAAATTCATTCAAAAATTGTAAAAATATAAATTTATTGTAAATTCAATATAAAATCATTACAAAAAGTCAAACAGGTGAATTTGATTATTGCCTACTACATTGCAAAAAAAATATCGATAATATACCAGCGTCGCCACATCACTATTTGCTCCATACATTTCTTCAAATTTATTTTATTTGTTGTTTTTTATGTTTTGTGCATTGAATTGTATATGTTTATTGCAAATAACAATATAAATGAGCTATTCAAAACATATTTCATTTGTGTCGAAACATATTTGAGTGTGTTATATGTGGATTTATGGTGAAAAATGAGTTATTTTTCCATTTTTATTTATTTTTACTGTAAAATGTAAATAAAAAATAATTATATTACATATTTCAAATAATTTGGTGTTGTATTTATTTCAAATTCACACAAAATATAAGAGAAATAATGTTTCAAAGTTCATATGAAAAATTGAATTTCGGAAAACAAGGGTTATGTTTGACTCGTATTTATTTGTTTTTTTTGTATGGGTTACGAATAAAAACACATAAAAACATAAAATAATATATATTTCCAAACATTTTCATATAGATTTCTCAAAAAACAAATGTGTAGAAATTATTTTATTAATATTTTCGTGCCTAAAAGTGAAGTATCTACTAGTACTATGTGTTTGAAGGGTAATTTATGAATTTTATTTCAATATCTAACATCTAAAAATTATTTTATTCGATACTTTATACATTCAAGAAGAATTCCTGTAAGTTTTATCCATAAATATTGTCTCAAAGTGAAAATATTGCAAAATTTGTAAGTTACGGAAAATTTTCCGATTTCCGCCATTTTAAGGTCGCGAGCGAACGGGAGTGTCAATATTACGTGGCCTCGCGAGCTAACAGGTTAAAATACAACAACTTTTGTCGGATGAAAGTACATACCGTAAGGTCAAAACAGACCCTACAACTAATACGCTTAAAACAACTAGCGATCTAATTAAGAAATACTCCGAGAAATTAAATCTAGACGTCAATTCGATGATACCTTCGTGTGCAAAAGCTCCCAAGTTGTATGGGTTACCAAAAATACACAAACCTAACGCTCCATTACGTCCAATAGTGAGTCAAATCGATTCGCCAACGTACAGATTGGCTCAACACTTGGCCAAAATATTATCACCACTCAGAGGACACACAAGAGCACATACTAAGGATTCATACCATTTTGTCAGTGAGATAAAAGACCTACGTCTTGCTGACAATGAAACCATGGTCAGTTTTGATGTTCAGTCTCTATTTACATGCCTACCTGTTGAAGACTGCATCTCAATTATAACTAGGAAACTAGATGAAAATAACATGCCACCAGAATATGCAGTACTACTAAGACATTGCCTTACATCTGGCTATCTATTGTGAAAGGAAGAGTTTTACAAGCAAGTAGATGGTGTTGCGATGGGCTCACCTGTATCTCCCATTGTCGCCGATATATTCATGGAAGACTTTGAGGAGAAAGCCCTCCTTACTGCACCTGTTACCCCAAGGTTCTACAAGCGGTATGTAGACGATACTTTCACAATTTTACCATCAGACAAAGTAACTGCATTTTTAGAACATCTTAATTCCATAAACCCTAAAATTCAATTCAATTTACTATGGAGTTAGAGGCAAATAATTCCTTAGCTTTCCTAGATGTGTTAGTCATCCGAAATCCTAACAACACCATAGGTCATAGTGTGTATAGAAAAAAGACCCATACAAACCGATACTTAAATGGTGAATCTCACCATCATCCTTCACAGTTAGCTACCGTGGGCAAACCTTTGTTTCAGAGAGCACGAGGGATCTGTGACAGCAAACACCTGGCCGCCGAGCTTCAGCACGTCAAGCAGGTTCTGCACGACAACAAGCTTCGGGTCCCGCGCCTCCGTCACAGTGACCGAGTGAAGCCGGCCACAGTCGAGCGTGTGCCTGCTATACTACCATATGTCAGAGGTGTCACAGACAAGATTGGCTACATCTTGAAGCGAGCTTCTATTAGAACATTCTACAAGCCGCCGAAGTCAGTTCTTACCATCCGTCAAGTGTCATATTCCTCTACAAGATGCAGGAGTGTACAAGC